TATACCTTGTGTGAAGTAATCATAATCTTTTTAAAAAAGGCAATCTGACAAAGCTGAAACATAATGGTGTCAAAAGCAATCACGATGTCTTTAAACAAATAAGTTAATGGTTTGAACAGAACATAATGGTGTCTAGAGTAAACAAAATGTCTTTTAAAAAGGATAGTAAACTGTTTAAACAGAAGACAATGGTGTCAAGGACGTCAATTGGGAAGTCCCAACAAAACTTACAGAGACAAGTTTGTATATTGTATCCTTAACAGAGAGTTTATTTAATGAGAACATTCCACACACAGAGTATATTTTAAAAAGGCTTTTCCACAACAATTTTCAGCCTAGCTAAAGCAAGTGTGCAGCAACACAAATGGGTAAATGTAGTAATAAGGCAATAATAAAAATGTCATAACAATAACCTCAAAGTTGGAGGTCAGAACAGAGTTGAATATTACAACTCAACATTAAAGCTCTGGACCCTGACCGTGTTTGTAGTTGATTCAAGATCACAAATCGATTTGAATGGAAAAAGACAAGACGCAGCAGCGAAGTAAAAGCAGTTTGAGCTGGAGGCTGAAGTTTAGTCTCCAGCTCAAACAACAAGTTCCAGAAAGTCAAGTGTGGTGTTTGCACATAAAATCTGACCTCGTGTCTGCGTCATGGCCTCACCTGAGTCGCTGCGACGGGGAAATCGGCTGTTTGTGCGGTGGATGGTTTGCTTTTTTCGCGTAAAGATCCTTTAACAGCACAGCGGCACAAAAGAAACTCCCCCGTTTTGTTGAGCACTAGAGATATCATGGCGGCAACGCAGCACCTCACAGTGAACTGGGATTGGTCCAATGGATGAAACAAGCTCTCTGATTGGTTACACTGTCAGACAGCTTATCACATCCCTTCCTCTTCACTACATCTGCATAAAAACACATGCACGTTTTTTTTTCTGATTCTCTTTGCAGAATGCTCTTGGCATGCTGTATGATTATCTGACCTTCCTTGCCATAACTAAAGTACAATTAAAACACTATTATTCTCAGATCTTATTTCAGAAGTCTCACCAGGTCAAATTTCCTTGGTCAAACACTGGCAGACTCTTGCTGACTGTCTCTGTATTGAATCTTAAGCAACGGTCAGAAGCTTCTTATAATATAATTTACATAAACAGGTCTGTGGAGTAATCTTTATTTCTATTTTAGTTTCCTAAGACCACAATAATATGGGAAAAATTATTATGGGTGTGAAGTAAAGCTCAAAAACACGTGTGGTGGACAATTTCTCAAATCCTACCCTTTAAATAATGAATTCCATTTGTGTTAAGATTATACAACAACAGAGTTGTTGAGTTGTTTATAGTAAGCTCTGCAGAGGGTTACAAATGAATGCTCAGAGTGGAACCTTGAATAGTTTAAGAAGAACGTTTTTATACAGTCTGGTTAACAGGAAACATCTGCCGTTGCTGTTACAGAAAAAGGAAAAAAACCCAGCACCCAGTTGCTGGTAAACAGAAAGAATATTATCAAGTAATGACAGTCATAACAGTAGTAAGACGATCAGGGAATTTTCCATTACAGACTATTATTGTCAGATCTCTATTTCAGAAGCCTCGCCAGGTCAAATTTCCATCAAACTAGGTCACATTATATGAGGCTGAATCTATGCTGAGTTACATGCTAATTTCACTTGGAGACGTTGGGCGTCCTCCTTACTTCCCACTCACTTAGAAGTGAAGGATATAACTTTGGTCCCTTTCTCTTAATAGTCGTCCTCTGACACTTTGTGAACTTTAAGAAATGTCATGATTCTGTAATTTGTTGAACTTCTGAAAGGTTTTGTGTTTGGATGTTTTGAAATGACTTAGGTGGTGGATTTGTTTCCTTGTGTTTGGACTTTGCTTTGTTTACTTGGATCCCTTCATTTACCTTTGTCTTTGTACACTATGAGTTCTTCATTTCCTGTTTAATTTTTGGAACGTCTTTCCTTGCGCATCTCTTAATTTACTTTCCTTCATTGTCAGATTTCCCCGTTCCTCTGCTCTGATTGTCTGCACCTCCCTTCACTTGTCACAAGTTTTTTAATCCCTGCCTCCTTTTGTTTATATATCTAGTCTCTACGCTCCACACCCTCCCGTCAGTTTGTCTAATTACTCATGAATTTACTGTAAATCTATTTTTTGTGCTTCTTTTTTAAAGTCACCCTCACCAGCCTTCGCTTCTGCACTTGCACTGGACTGCAGGCTGCAATATTCAATCTCCAACAGAGGCAACAAGCTAGCGGCATTGATAATCTTCTTATCTCTTTATCTCCTGTTTCCAAATGTGCCATAGAGGACCAATTAAGATTTGATCATTGTGAGAACAAAATTATAACTTTACCATTATATTTCTGTATTCAAGTATGCAAGTATTCAAAATAATGTCAATTCTTTTGACCTACATAGCGTCTGGGATTCCTTTAAATGTACATTTGGAAGACACGCAATTAGTCTTGGAAGCAAAATAAATATTTGCTAAGGGAAATAGGAATTTAATAGATGGGATAAATTAGCTAAATAAATGTCTTTGCACCATGCACTTGAGTAAGCGTCAGCACTTCTCTGCATGTCTGAGGATTTGACAAGATCAGCTGAAGTGCTTGCCGGTTGCCACCACTAACATATTGTTGCTTTAATCGTGGTGTTGATGATACATGACTCAGCATTAAATGAAATGTGCTCCAGCTAACGGGTGTAAATCATCTGATATTTCTTCTTCACTCTGCTCATTGTTGCATCTCATGTGATGTGTTGTGAGTCCGGTAACTCCTAACACATAAAACCTTCTAATCTCGAGGGCTCTAAGGCCTCACAGGTCGACCACACGTATAATATATAGGATATAGGATAGGATCGGTCACACACATTATTAAAGCAATTAAAAGATGTTTTTACTTACAGCTAATGTTCCCTTATCGTTTCTTAACCACAATAATAACAACTGGATTTTAAAGCAGCACTATGACTCATATTCTCAATGAAGCTTATGGTCTGAGGCTCGCACATCTGAAACACTGAGCCTGAGCTCTATATGCCTCTGAGTGTTTCATGCTCACAAGTCCAAACATGTGGGAGGAGTGAACACATTTGCAACGTAGTTAACATACATTATAATTTACATGATGAAGTGACACCATTTTGTGTTTCGATTATTGTGAAGGAACAGTGAAGGACTTTTTCCTCCTTTCAGCTCCATTCTTCTCTTAGACATTTAGGTATTATTTAGTTGCAGAGTCAATAGGGTGGAAGCAATAGTTTATAGCTTGTCAGCTGAGAACACATTGATAGCATCCTGCTGGCCCGTTCCCCAGTGGCGGTTGCCATAGCAACCAAGGCCATCAAGATATCATGGACCGAGACTCCAGTCCAGGGAGGTAGAGTGGTAAAACAGTGGCCTTGAGCTCAGACTGTATCTTCCCTTGAGAAACTTGTGAAAATAATTCATTGTTTAGAACAGATGTTAATTTATATGACAGGGTTTGCAGGGTTTCCAAAATTAAATAATCTGAATTTTAGACTATATAAAGGCTACAATATGTAAAAATATTATATACAAGGTCTTAATTGTGTTTCAGTAGTTCACATTCACTTAATGTAACTTCTGTTTTGCTTTAAATTAGTTTTTTTTATTGTTTTTAGAAATGTTTTGGTGGCCTAGATAGTTTGTTATGTCTCTGTGTGTTGAAGTTTTATGTCAACAATACAGATATAAGTGTTAAGTAATAAATCTTCTTTTCTGGGACTCTGATATTCCTTCATATCTTTCAAACTTGATATAAGACTTTAAATTCTTAAATATATGAGATGCAAACTGTACAGTTACGTAAAATACAATATTACAAATATGTAACTGAAATAGATGATGTTTTTATGGTGGAAGATTGTAAATGTAACCATTACATTTTTATGTTTGTAAAAATCTTGCAACCATGATTTAACAACTTATATTTGGGCATTACATAACCCAAAATATACGTTTTATATAAATATATTTTATTTAGAAATATGAATGTAATTCACTTTTCTATTCACAAAATTCACACATTCTGAAATGTGGAGACTATATCATCCATATTGTACCATCCTTTCTTTACTGTGGCCACCAGGGGTCAGTATTTGATCATAAAACATGTTACAGCAGTGGCTACTCCAGAATAGACTGTGGCCACAATATCACATAGATAAAATGATTTATTTTCAATGGGGTTTTTTACTTGAACATATGACATTAACATTACACTTAACAAACATGTAAGATGACTCAGACCACACACCACAGCATCATTGGGCAACATGAAGAGTGAACAAAATGTTGTCTGAAATATTAGATGTATATATTTCCTTTTCCTTTGATTTATTGTCTTTGTTTTGGTGTCCACACCTTGTATTTTGCACATTTTTTAATCACACTTAGTAAAAGATAAAGTGATCCACATGGCATCGGCCTAGAACATCACTGGAAGAGTAGATGGCTCTAAAACACTACTTTTGTTTTGGAAGGTGTATTATGAACTGCACATTAAAGATAATGAATTAAGTGTGTACTGTATAAACGACTTTTAAAGGTACAGTGTGTAGAATTTAGTGATATCTAGTGTTGAAATTGAATGTTGCAACTGAACACTCCTCACCTCACCCTCTCCTTCCAAACATGAAAAAGAACATGTGGTAGCCTTTAATTGTCATAAAAACTCAAAACGTGTTTATTTTGTCAGTCTGGACTAATGTAAGAAACATGGCGGCCTCCGTAGAGAGGATCCCCTCGATGTAAATATAAAGTATTTAAATATAAAGGGCCTTTTCTGGGGTAAACAAAACTATAATTCATACAATTTAGATTAAACGAACTAGCGAAAACATTATGAGAATTATTCTACATTAAATTTCAGCCAATTGTTCCCTTTCACCTAAATCTTACACACTGGACCTTTAAATGAATCAGTCCAATAGGAAACTGACTGTTTATTGTATTTCTTACTAGTCTGTATCAGAAGAAAGCGTCAGTATATGTCACCCTATTTTCACCCTTAGTCTTGAACAGCCTCAGGTGGACCAGGATTTGGTCCCCTTGAGGTGTGTTGGTCCTGGAAAAGGTCCTACAGAGTTGACACACACAGGAGGTGAGAGACACAGACCATAAGACCGTTCAGTCCCCCCACCATCAATCGTGGGATTGGCAGCCCTGTTGTGATGCTTCACCGGGGGTCCTAATTTCACAGCCAGCCTCCGTCACGACTGCGTCAGCACTGATGAGCTCAGCGTTACTGGCAGGGTGGGAGGAGGAGGGGGAAGAAGAGGAGGAGGAGGAGAGGGTGAGAGAGGAAGAGATGGATTGAGAGAGATAGAGAAGGAGAGAGAGAGAGGAAGAAGAGGGAGCAGGGTGTTGCCGCCTCTGAGACACACTCACGCATCACAGAGAAACAAGCAGCGCGGTGAGAACAGGGCGTCCCTCCGCTTCTCCTCCTGTTTGTGTTTGAATCATTGAAACCTGTTTCAATTATTAAACCTCGTCGGAGCTGAAGTGTTTGCGGAGATATATACACACGCACACGCAGAAAGAAACGCGCACATCGGGAGAGCGACCCCGCCGGAGAGCAGGGAGGGAGCTCAGTGAGGAAGCGGAGCGGTTCAGCACCTCGGACAGCGACCATGGCTCCAGTGGTGGAGGAGGCGACTCAGCTCGGTGAGTCCGATCTCTGCTTCACCTGACCGGGGGACACGGGTTGGACAGTGTGGGGGGTTGATGGTGCTCGTTCATCATATAATAATAATAATGATAATAATAACTGATACACCCCAAAAACCTATTTTCCAAACCGAAATGTAGATTTTTGTTTTAAAAATGTGCATTTCTACTTAAGAATTACTCGAGTAAAAATACTCAAGAGACTACTTGAGTACTTGTGTTACTGGTTAATGTGTCTGTGGAGACTTCCAGCCTCCATTTTGCGGCTATAGCGTCAGCTAAACAACCGGGAAATAACCAGCAGGGTGGAAGTAATGACATATTTGTTTTTAATATTGACAAGTTCGTTTTTTTATTCATATTAATAGAATTTGGAATTGAGTAGGAGTAACCGAAGAGCTGAAGGAGTCCACCCCCTCCCTCCCCTGACCTCCCGTTGCTGTCTGTTGTTGTTATTGTCTTGAAAGACTGAAATATTGATGAAGGGAAAGGGAGAAAACAGGCTTGTAAGAAGGATGTGATTTGACTGCCCCCTGTCTGAATGAGATCAGATCAGTAATGCATGTCAGGTGGATGCCACACCTTCAAATATCACAGCAAATCAAGCAAATGCCATAAATATGAATTATCATGGTCTGAAATTTCAGCTAAGGTCAAGCTGTTACATAATACCACTTGAAAAGTAAAATACATATTGTTTACATGTGTTTTAACCAGGCTTTTATATGAGAAAACTGTAAATGAGCAGAAATGTTGCGATATTGATTATACGTTGTGAAATACACACACCGAACCTCGCCTCCATTCCTCGCCCTCTGAAAGGGTGTTAACCCGAGTGCTTTTCCACGGAGCCACCCTCCTAACTGCAGGTCCTGGCCTTTCCTCCACTATAAATCTATTAGATAGCATGAGAAGGCAGCTCTGTTAATGTTGTCGAGTCACAGTTCAGCTCCATGAAACAAAGAACTGAAGCATTCAGTGGCACATATCTCTCTAATGTGTCTCCATAACAACGCACAAGTGATGCGACAAATGTACCTTTCAATGGAATTAGGTCTCACAGCTTTTGAAAATAATTAAGGGGTTTGGGCAAAATTCTTCCCTCCTGTAGGACGAATATGAATGAATATATTGCAGGGTCTATCACATATTTGTGCTGTTATATTTGCAGATGGGCTCTCTGGAGGAGCCACCCTGCTTGTAATGTGGATAGGATGCTCTGCACAAAAAGAATCTGTAAGAGGATGTTACTTGAAGTATTTCAACAGGCAAATAGATACATAGATGGTACTTAATTATCAGAATGAGTACATTTGTTTCTCCACTGGTGCATCTGCATTCAGCCATTAATAAACCTGCCATAAGGACGTCAACCAGTCACGTTACCTTTTTCAGCAGTTCATTACTTCCACCATCTGTTTCCTAATGAACTGTCGTGGTCCTGTCTAATATCTGATCACAGTGACGATGATTCTTCATCAGGGTTGAACAGATTGATGGTTGTTTTCATCTCCATCTGAGTCAAGCCTGCAGCCTCCGTCAGTCGGAAACAGTACAATAAAATCTGTGACTTAACTGCTGCCTGTTCCATGTTTTTTTTTAAATTTTAAATAATTGTATTTTTTTTCCACTCCTTCCCTCCTCACCCTATCTGTCCTCCTTCACAGTGGCAGTGCCAGTAGGAGTGGCCATGGTGAGTGTCTTTGGCCTCGTCTTCACTGTTTCAGCCTTTGCGTGGATCTGTTGCCAGCGTAAAAACACCAAATCCCAGAAGACTCCTCCTTACAAGTTTGTGCACATGCTCAAAGGGGTCGACATCTACCCAGAGAGCCACAGTGGGAAGAAGAAGTTCGGCACTACTGCCTCCACAACGACCAACGACACAAGTAAAACCGATGTCAACGGAAACTGCCACACAGTGGCACCAATGAGTTCAACTGGCACCACTAAACTGGCGTCAAGTCCAAATGGCTCCAGACCGGCCATGCATCTGGATCTGGAGAAACGGGATCTGAATGGTAACTTCACCACCAAACCGTTTCACCACCACCACCAGAAGGTGCGGAGCTCCCCAGACCTGGAGCTGCCGTCTCCACATGCAGGGTTCACCCAGCCCGGGTCAATGGACCGCTGTGACATCCCTTCACCATCGAGCACCCTCTCCAGCCAGGCGCCCACCCCAGCTGTGGACAAGCCCCACGGGGAGGAGAGGGAGAGTGGGTTGGGAACACTGCACTTCTCCCTGGAGTACCAGCCAGAGAGGAAGGCATTCATCGTCCATATCAAGGTACTGTTTGTGTTTTTGTGTTTCTTCACAAAGAGTTTATTGATACAAACTGAAAAAGATTCCACACAATGTTAAATTATTTATTCATTGTTTGATTTTATTTCATCCAGGAAGCCCATGGCCTGACCCCGACTGATGAACAGTCAATGACCTCTGACCCCTACATCAAGCTGACACTGCTGCCAGAGAAAAAGCACCGGGTGAAAACCAGAGTCCTGAGGAAGACTCTGGACCCCGCCTTTGACGAGACCTTCAGCTTCTACGGGATCCCACTGGCCCGAGTGTCAGAGCTGGCCCTTCACTTCATGGTGCTCAGCTTTGACAGGTTCTCCCGCGACGAGGTCATCGGGGAGACCCTCGTCCCTTTGTCCGGGATCGACCTCTCAGAAGGGCGTGTCCTGATGAGCCGAGAGATCATCAAGAGGAATGTAAAGGTAAGATGTGAGAAGATTGATTTGTGTTTTTCTGTTTAAATCTCCAACTTCACTTTGTACTTGAATTGACCACAGTATCACCCTTGATATCCTCAATCCATTGAGGATTTCATTTCAGTGGAATAATTGAGATTAAATTCATATTTGTTAGCTGATTTTGCAGCAGATCTGCCACAGCTCCAAAATGAGTCCAAATGTTTCAGGTTTGCAAATACATTGAAAGGGATCCTCACCATTGTATCTGTCTCTAATTAGGTTAGAAAGGTCATTATTAAATTAACCAAGTGAGAACAGACAAGACGTTTTTGTCTCTGTGGGGACAGATATTGACTTTATCTGTTGCACCATTATGGATTTACAAGCTGATACTGAGGCCTGGGGTTGTGCATTTTGTTTCAGTTTATCATCCTTTTTTTTTTTTTCGTCCTCCAGTTTTTTTTCTGACCTCCGAAAAATATGTAATTTACTGCCAGATCTAACATGACGTGGCACGATTCCTCTCCACACAAACACATTCCTCCTGGCAAACAAGGTTTAGAATATTCAATAATCTTTATTATGTTAATTTTGTGTTTAATTAGTGATCATCTTCATATCCGAACAGCCTCAGAGAATTAAAACAGTAACACAAGGTCCAGTTTGAAAGTGGATAGACTCACATGGACATTTCCACTCCTCGTAGAGTACTGAGCATGTGGAGTGATATCAACACCAAACCATTATGGATCTGTGGGCTGCTTGTCAATAATCTTCTGCTCCAGCCTGGCTGTTCCTGGCAACCATGAGGGCCACTAATGTACAATAGCTCATTTCCTGTTTCAGAGGAATGTCATGCCCTGTAGTATGTAGTCTGTCCCCACATGTACAGTATCAGTATAAATGCACTGAACTTATACAGGCAGGGTTGCATTTGGTGAATTTAAAGGATGGAGTGGAAGGTGATATCTACATCCTGTTTTTTAGGTTTGGCTGTACATGAGCATTTGATATTAATGTAATTATAGAGGCGTGAGTTGATGTGGTACTTTGCAGAGCTCTGCTAAAATAGCTCCGTTCCTACCAGGAGGAAGCGGATATGTTCTTGCACGTTTCAGCTTCCCAAGAGGAAAATGAGATATCTGTAATATCTGTAACAGTGCTGGGAAACATGGCTCAATCCAGAGGAATATAAAAGCTTTATTCCCTCTCTGCAGAGCTACCTCTGTATTTTATCACCAAGAGGACAATATGTCTTAAACTATGTTTTGCTGGCTTCAATTCTATTTCTCATGTGGGTCCCAGGAGAGACAAATCTAATAAACCTCAGCTGTCGGGAGGAGGCCGTCCTAGCTGAAGCTGTTTTTGTGCAATCAATAGAGAATCTTAGTTGCAAGGTGTAATTTTTGGATTCTTTTATTGGGTTTCATGTTGGCAGGGGCAAAGAAAAAATGCTTGACCTCTTTTATTGAATTGCTGTGAATCAGCTCCATTGTATATTCTCTTAATTGGAGCAGAATATTCTGGCACTGTCTAAAATAAAGTGCTGAGTGTTGATGGTGTACAGCCCTGCCACACCCTGATGTGTTACACACTTAAACTAATGAATAGACGGAATACTTTGTTCAGTATTACATCTGTTGTTTTTATCGTGGTTATGTTTATGAAATGAGTCAGTGAGATGGGTTCTAAGATGATTATGAGCTGATTTTCTCTGGATGTGGCATCTCCTTTGTTCTCGTGATGAGAGGCACCTCTTTGAAAACTGGGTGGTGGCTCTCTTTGTCTGCATGGCATAGATTTGGCCTAATGCTTTTTGCAATAGGTGTGGGTGTGTGTGTGTGTGTGTGTGCAAGTGAGCACAAAGCACTTCCTGGAATTGATGTCGCAGGCAGTGTAGATATTGTCCAGTTTTCTGCATGATGACACCAGAATAAAATACAGGCACTTATTCTACAACATCCCCGAGGGAGCGGAACAGAAAAACACAGGTAGCGTGCACACATTATGTATTTTCAGAGAGCGGGACATCGGGTCAGGGGTGGAAGTCACCCGTGCTGGTGTGCTTTTACTCCTCATTACCATGGCAACCGTGAGCCGAGGCGTGATGTCCCGTTAGATGTGATCACAGCATCAACTCTCTTGGGTGTGGGCAGGGTAGAACAATAACAAAGGGACGGCTCTGATGCAGAGCAAGATGAGGGAGCTTCTTAGTGGCTGGTGAAGATATGAGAATATGCCCCATAGGCAGGTGGTGATTATGTCGTTGAAAACATCATCAGCACTGACGCCATTTATAGCATATCTGCATTTTTCATCACATTTAAATAACAACTAATTATCTAGTGAGTATTGTTATTATATACACTTAACATTTGCAATAAGCCTATTTTTGCATTCATTTATTAATTTG